TTATTTAAACATGTAATTTATAACCATTCTAGTACTTTAAATAAATTCCAGATGATCATACTGACCTATTTTTACGAGATATTGGCACATCACTTTGATTTCAATAGCATTATGTTAAAAAGAGGATTTTTCGGAGCATTCCAGATTTTATATTTTACCTGGCAACGCTGACATCAACTACTGATGCAGGCGCTCACAAAACCAAACACGTCGATCCTACAAGTGATGCCCAGTGTTGCCAGTTTTCCAGATTTATCTGGATTTTACAGATTTTTCGTCGTCTAGCCAGATACACAGACAGATCACGTTTATATCCAGATTTTAATATGTTCGAGATTTTCCCAGGTTTTAAAAATATGTTGCTTTATAAATATCTTAAATGGACCCTCTAATCAAAAAAATAAAAAGCCAAACTAACGACTTTAACCGATAAAGGCCATCAACGTTGGACATTATTGCAACATCATACGTGGTATTGTTACAGCATGTTTGCAATGGGTTGCAGAATCATGAAAATTGAAACATTTTCTAAACATTATAGGCTGTATAAAATCTTCACGTTTTTTTAAATATCGAGCCAGGATTATTTTTTTGTTCTTGTTGAGATTCTGGCTACATTTAATTTTTTTTTAATCCTGGATTTATAAAAAATCATTATTTCTTAATTTTGGAATTTAGAAAAATCGAAAACTGTTCAGGATTGAAAACAATAAATTGAGCTATGGAAAATTAGCAAGGCTTTTGAATATAGACAACCACTAGGACTTTGAAGTATGTCCGTGACATGTTTGAGGATAATTAATTAGATTAATTTTAAAATAGAATTTTAAAGTACCTGTGAATATTGAGTTACCTTACCTTAGAATTCTGAATTGCCCTAGATTTCATAATTTTAAGGAAATTCTGAAAATAGTTTACAGTGAAGTGTAAGTATGCAGTCTTTGATTGAAGTGAAGATTGTGTTTGGCAAACTCTGATGAAGATTTCATGGAGATTTTGTGACGAAAGGAAACAGTTAGAATTAGGAAGAGAAATCATAGCAAATTCTTAACATGAAACTTAAGGAGAATGCTAATATGAATCGTGCAAATAATTTCAATGGAATTCTGTCCAATATTTGACAGACTTTCAATGTTATTTTGGCAAAGTACTTGAGTACTTAGAGTACACTGAAGAGGAATAGTCTGAGAAGAATGTGATAGTCATTCTGAAGAGCGTACCAAGGAAATTATGAAGAATATTCTAAGGGGATTTCATAGAGAAAAAATGAGACAAAATTATGTCAATTCTTGGAAATTATTACCAGTTTGACGGAATTGTGGAATCAGAGAGATTACAAGAGATAATGCTAAGAACTCTGATGTTACTGAAAAAGTTTGGATATTATCAAGATTAGTTTAGGGGAATCCAGAATAGAAATATGATGAAATTCTAGGATGATTCAAAGTGAACTCTGCAAATGAAGTAAATTTCATGATCTGGGACCCAGGAAAAATATCAATTCCAGGATTTTGAATCATTTCAAGATCCTGAAACTTCAAAAATGACGCTTTTAGACTTTAATTTTTGTTACCTAATAATATTATTCTTCGGCATAAAATTATTTGTAATGGTCACTTAGAGTAGTGTGTGAGTACCACGATGTTAGGCTTTGATTCTCACTTGAGCCAGGAGAATTTTAGTTTAAAATAAAATTGCCTACTGGTCTACCGAGTGTTGTGAGTTGTATGATGTCAAGAATGAAATTGGAAGTCTGATCAATCTCAGAGAAATATTACAATTATTTAAAACTAATAAAAAAATAAAGACATATTCTGTTACTGCATCAAATATTAAGGACTTAATCGACCATAGGTTTAAAAAAATCATCTCATCAAAGATGCTTGACTCTTTGCTGCTTCAGAATTCTAAAAATATTTTCTGCAGTATTTAACCAAAAATTTAAATCAATTTAGAAATGCTGCGTAATGGATTTTTAAACATGGATTTCATAAACATTCTGGTAGTCTTTGAATAAATTCCAGATGATCATATTGACCGATTTTTACGGGAAATCACTTGCACATCACTTTGATTTCAGTAGCATTATGTTAAAAACATGATTTTTTAAAGCATTCCAGATTTATCCAGATTTTATATTTAGACTGGTCCAGATTTTTCTGAAAATGACCTGGCAATGCTGGTGATGCCTGATATGGATTTCCTAAACCAAAAACAAACCAACTCAATATCACTAATACACACCACAACGTCAACATGTGTGCAATCAAGGTCAACACTTGCAGCTTTTAAAACAGAAGCTCGCTAATGGGGTGTTTACATCTGTGCGGATTTAGTCGCGCTAGTGGACTCGCCAACTAGCACGATTTTCAGTTGCTTCTGCAGGTAGACGCTGATGCCCTGTTATCATGATGCTTGTGAGCTTTTTAGCTAGCAGCTAGCTCATTAGCGCTAGTGAGAGAGCATAAGTGTAAACAACCCATAAACCTTTCAAAAGAACGTTGATCGGCTCGGCAAAGGTCAATCTCTCTTTCCAATGCCAACGTCTAGTTCCACACCGACGTTCACCGATCATCCGTTGTGGTTTCCATTCGATACGCCAGGCGTGCCTACTCATATTCATTCGTCTTGAGGTTGTATCCAAGACACGACCGTAGGTTTGACATAGCATTACGTGCTCGATATCAATATTCGGCGACTGTGTTAGGGAAACCACGATGATTTCAACGGCGTATCACCAGTGTTAGCAGTTCAGAGGGTGGAAGATCAAGGTGCAACGACTTGATTGGGCGCAAGATTTTTGGTTCTCAATTACACCGCAAAAAAACACTTTTCTCGTGTTCCTGTTCATGCTCATTCTTCTTCTTCGCATTTCAAACTTATTGCTTATCGCATATTTGCTTATTGCGTGCTATCAACTAAGTGTTCTAGATGTACTTCCACAGTTGTGCATTAATAGCTTTCGAAATCTGTACATTCAAACATTGTAACCTAATTGAAACCTCCGTTTACGAAGTCTTTTTTTTTACGCAATATTCAATTTACGTCCCTCTTTTTACGTCGTAGTAAATCCCAAATAACGAGTTTTCTTCTTACAAAGTTAATTCCAAATTACGAGTTTTTTGCGATTTTTGGAAACTGGGAAATACTATGAAATAGACCACAATATGGGTATTTTTGGAGTCGGAGTGACATGTAGGGACCGGAAATCAATGTCTGACACCATTTTGAAATCCAAGATGGTGGCTCCCGGTTACAGAAAACTTGGAAATTCTGTCAAATACCCCACAATATAAGTATTTTTGAAATCGGTTTTCTCGATATGGTGATTTAGGGAATTCGCCCTTTTCAAATGTTAGTCTAAAGGGTGTTCCACATCAAATTGCATCACGGAAAAAATGCTGTGAAAATTACCTAAGTGACCGATCCTTTTCAAACTTTCAGACAATAAAATATAACCCATTGGTAAGCTGTTGGCATATTTATTTCATTCAACTTCAATACCATAACCGTACGCTTGCACCTTACGCTTAACTCCACTCATTAGGTTCTGTACAACATCTGGCTGCAGCTTCTTCTGTACGGAATACCACTTTTTCTTCATGTCTTCCTCAGATTTGACCTCCTTGGGATGCTTCCGTAGTGCCTGCTCCATAATAGCCCAGTATTTTTCGATGGGCCTTAGTTCCGGTGCGTTGGTGGGGTTCATGTCCTTGGGTACGAAAGGGACCCCGGACAACATTTGGATAGTGGCACGAAGCTAGATCCGACCAGAAGATCGTGAGGCCCTTGTGTTGCTTTAACAGATGAAGCAGACGCTTCTGTAGACACTACGTGCGGTAGATCTCACAGTCCCGGTAGTCATGAACGGTGCACTCCGTTTGCCACATGAGCAGATCGCTTGCCAAATCATGTATTTCTTGGCAAACTTTGAAAGTTTCTGCTTCCCTACTTCCTCCGGAACATCAAACTTGTGCTGGGTGGTGAAGAACAGTAGCCCCGGAAGCTGCCGGAAGTCCGCCTTGACGTAAGTCTCATCATCCATGATGAGACAATGAGGCTTCGTCAGCATCTGGGTGTACAGTTTCCGGGCCCGTGACTTTCCCACCGTATTTTGCCGTTTGTCACGATTTGGAGCCTTCTGCACTTTGTACGTATGCAGCTCTCTGAATGAAAGACTTGGACAGATTCAACTTTTTGGCCACATCCCTGGCCGAAGCATTGAGATTCCACTTAAACGCTTTCACGACACGCTTGTGAACCTGATCACTAATAGAACATCCATTCTGACCGCATTTCTCCTTCCGTTCGATGCTCAGAGTTTCGTAGAAACGTTTAATCACACGACTCACCAGTGACTGCACGATTCCAAGTTTTTTTTTCCGATGTCCCAATGAGAGAGTTGCGGATTGTCCAGGTGCTTGTGCAAAATCAATTCGCGACGTTGCTTTTCGGGTGACGCCATTTTTTTCAACTTTCGAAAAACTGACAGCGATAAAAATACAGTGTAAACAATACACTCTAAACTACTTTTTCCCAAATTTTCAAGAGAAAATGCCCAATAGAGATCTCCAAGCGCAATTTCACGAACACTAAAATTCAGCATCCATTTAGTAAAATTAAGAAGAAGAAGAACCGAAAAGGTATCGCGATATCACAACTTCTTAAAAAGGTAGCGCGCGGTCTCACGCACACTTTTGTGCATTTGGAGAACTCTATGGGTAATTTTCTACAGCGTTTTTTCCGTGATGCAATTTGATGTGGGACACCCTTTAGAACTCTTCCCACTGCAATTAGAGCCCACGACCACGAAGTCTGCTAATCATGTTAAAAAGACATTTTCTCAACACGCTCAATCTTTATCCACCGCCAATCGCTAAGTTCACAAGAGCGCTCGGTTTTCCTTTATAAAAACTACAACACCTCACACACACCCACATCATTACCCACCATCACCATTTTTCACCATCGGTTTCTTTATACTTCTCCCTCTGTTTCAGGCAACCAGACGGTTCGAATCAACAGGCCGGGACTTCATGGCTCAAACGTTGCAGCTGGCCAAGCAGCTACGGCCCCGGGCAGCGTGGGGCTATTATGCCTTTCCGTACTGTTTCAACATGAACGGGGGCTCCGGGAATGGCCAGCGGGAGGACTGCTCCGCCGAAGTGCAACGGGAAAATGACCGGTAATAAACTGCAGCCAGATAGAGGCAGCCATCTATCTAGGAGGAACTCTCCTGGCCTATCTGTGTGTAGAATAAGTGCATGTTTTGGATTCAGCTGGCGTTGAAGCTGAGTTAACCCGAGTAAAAATTTTGTCCATTATCGGTTTTTTTTTTTTGGAAAATCGACTTTTCAACGCTAGAAATGTGACTAGGTATCTTCACGGTAATCATTCTTGATTCAAATGATTTTTGTAAACTCAATTCTCCTTTCGGGTCCCAAGAAAAAAAAGGCATCCTCATCCAACACCAGCATTCAACAACTGCTATCAAGCATGCCACAGAGAACTGAACCGAAATTAATAAATTATCATCCTGTAGTGTCGACGTTGCCTATCCTTCTATCCGAGAGCTGTGAACCAGTTCTTTCTCTAGGCCATTTTCCACACCAACTGTCGACAGCTCTCCCACCACATTCTCCGAAATGCATTCTCTAATCCCACTCCGCTTGGGTTTCAGAAATTCCCAAGATCCCAAACACATAGCCAACATTGCTCCATGGAAAAGTGACTCCCCCATTTGTGCTTTTGTTTACTTGCTAGAAACTCTCCTATTCTTTTTTTTTCTACTACAGCATCCAGTGGCTATTTGACGATTCGGACATTATCTTTCCGTCGGTTTATCTGAGGGAGAAGCTCGGTGCTGGCGATCGAGTCAAGCTGATCCGGGGGAGAGTGAAGGAAGCGGTCCGGGTGGCTGGCAGGGCCCAAGTGCAACCGAAGCCACGGGTGCTGACATACATTCGGTATGTCTATACGGACAGCATCAAGTTCTTGACCGAGGTAAGTTATGCTCTCGAGCGGGTGGTTAAAACTTCGGGTGTTGATTTGGTTCGTTGTGGAAGTAAATGTGGTTCTTTGGGGTTACACAAAAATTGATGTTTATGTTGGAAATCATTTGAAGCGCGGTTGGCATGAATAATGCACGAGGAAATATTTTACTGTTTGAGGGTGCACAGAGAGCTTAGTCAGTTTAGGCACGGTTTAACCAAGTTCGCATTGGAAATGTCCCATTCAAGCGTCATGTGTCAACGTTTAGACGCACTGCACGCATAATTTTGAGCGAGAAATCGTAAAATTTGAAAAAGACCTATCCAAGGGGTAAGTAATTGTGCCACCTTGTGTTAAACACAGCAAAAACACACATGGACACACTTCAAACACCCTTCCGCTACAAGAATGCTATTTTGACGTAGGATTACGTCTTTCGGCAAAATCAACCGCGTTACAAAACATGGTCAGGTTTTGACCACTTATAACTCTGTCAATATCAGATGGATTTTGATTCTAAACAAGCCAATCGATTTGAAAGTTTTCTACAAATCTACTAAAATAAACAGTTTATCAATTTTCAATAGGTCACTATTGAAAATTACACAAATGTCCAACTGTTGCAATGGTGATCACCGATTAAAGACTGGACTCGGAAAAAATGAGACACACAAAAATGATCACCAAAAATTCATCTTAAATCGGCTACTTCTCAAATTTTCAGGGATTAAATAACTATATATTAGCCATGTTTTGGCATAATTTATTTATTGAATTTCCTCCCCAAAGCTGAATGCTCGTACATTTCTCTTAACACTGCTCATGAGATCTTGGGCGAGGCTTTGCCCATCTTCCTTACACAATTTCTCCCAGTTTTTCTTCAAAGCTTCATCGGTTTTGAATGTTTTTGCGCTTTTCTTCAACTTCTTCTTCATTATCGCCCAAAACTTTTCGATCGGACGAAGCTCTGGTGTATTTGGCGGGTTCACCTCCTTCGGGACCACATTAACGCCCTTCGCTTCGTACCAATCCATTACAGGCTTGGCGTACTGGGACGAAGCGAGATCCGGCCAGAACAGCGTGGGACCACGGTGAGAGCGGAGGACGGGCAGCAAGCGCTTCTGCAAGCATTCCTCTCGATAAATCTGCCCGTTTATTGTGCCGGTTGTAACGAACGGCTTGCTGTACCGTCCGCACTCGCAGATCGCCTGCCACAACAGGTACTTCTTCGCGAATTTGTCCATCTTTCTCTTCCGGAACTTTTCCGGAACCTCCATGCGGGACGTACCGACAAAAAACTCGAGGCCGGGGATTTGTTTGGTGTCCGCCTTGATGTATGTCTCGTCGCCCATGTCGAGACAGCCTGGCTTGACCAGCCACTCACGGTACAGCTTCCGCGAGTTAATATTATACGGGTGTGATAAACTTTTTAAAAAATAACTTCTTAACTACTCGCTAGGTAAAACCGAACTGCACTTTATTTTTCAATTAAACCTAACTACAGTTCATATTGCCTACTCTGCATTTCCTCCGCTGGTGCCATCGTCCAAATTCCGTCCGTTGACATCGTCGATCAATTTGCCTTGCCTCGCATGTTGGTAGCTGCCCGTCCGGTGTGCCGTCATTGCCAAGTTCCAAAGTGCATGTTCAGCATCAGCATTCCAGCCGGGTGGCTTCGGTGCTAACTCGCGCACGCAATTTGGCCACCGTGATTTGCTTGTCAGTCCGGTTTGGCGCCTTCCTGACCTTAAAAACACGTAGCCCAGCCCGCTTCATTGTCTGCTGGACGAACCACTTCGACGAATTGACCTTTTTGGCCACGTCTCGGGTGGAAAGGTTCGGGTATTCTTAAAGTACTGCCTTATCTTCCGCGCCTTCTCTGGTTATTCCGTTTTCGGTTTTCGGCCGCTTCCAGCGCGCCACTCGGTGGTCTTCGTCTCCTGGAACATCTTCACAACGCAGGACACGGTGGAATGGTGGATTCCAAGCCTTTTGCCGATCCATCTGTGTGACTGACCAGGATTATAATCGATCACCGCGCCCAAGATTTGCTGGCGTATAACACTCTAAACTAGTAATACCCAAAATTTCATTAATTTTTACTTACGCAATAAAAAGTTACACCCAAAACAAAGTGTCGCATTTTTTCCGAGTCCAGTCTTTACCTGCAAAAAGTGTTTTTCCTAAGACAGATTTCAAAATCGAATTCCATCCGGCCTCGCCGAACGGTGCTTATTCAATCACCGTGTGTGGTGGTGTCCGGTCGGTTGTCATCATCGGCAGCAGCAGTAGCAGTGCTTTCGGTGCGTGGCATTGAACATTATTCTCCAGTACACAATGAAAGGCTGCCCGCAAGAAGCGAGCTGCAGCACACATGAGCGTCCATTCACTGAAGAAGGAGGAAGAAGCCGCACCGCTACTGTTCGGATTCAGTTGCTCGTCATGAGCCGCTTTGGACCATCTATGCCAAGCGCATCACCCTCGTTCCAAACAACATACAGCTCGCCAGCGTCAACCGTGTTGAACACCCTAATAGCTCAGCAATACTCAATCATCACGACAAAACAGTCCTTTTCACGACCACCATAAATTATTGAGGTTTAAGAGTCAATTTTCATTGCACGTTCACTCGCCTTGTTGCCAGCCACATCACCCTCAAAGCTCTTTGAAAATGTATCCAGCAATCAAACGTTTGTGGTCAAATGTGTAACAGCATAAAAATTCTCGCAATGACCGAATACCACATGACTTTGTCAATTAACCAGAAACACTTGGAATTAAGGTAAGGTTTTATATGATTTATATGAATATCCCGCGAATGGAAAATTATAGCAAGTAATTCCTCCGAGGCAGTTTCAGTGTAGACAAAAGTGGTTTCCCTAACAGTGGTTCACCGAATATTGATACCGAGCACGTAGTCCTACGTCAAATCTACAGTCGTAGCTTGGATACAACTTCTTTCTTTTTTATCCTATTTGGTCTGGAACTGGTTTCGTACAAGCTTTCGAAGTATACAGCATTTGTTGTATTTAAATTCCTGCAATTTTGGAAACAGCACATTTTAGTGGTATCCTATTGACATAATAACGGTGATATCCGTCACTGTGCATGGTTATCCAAAATCTTGCAACATCTGTGTAATCGTCTGCGGAAGACACGAAAACGTTACTTTTGCTCTAAGACTTCTGGAATAGGTTTGCCGTACAGCTAACAGAAGTCGAGTACGCTTTCGAAAGTACATTGACAACCTGCAGAATAGATTCAAGAGGTTCCGGGTCATTTGGCGGAATGCCGTTTTAACGAATGCCGTTTGACCGAACGCTGTTTGGTCGAATGCTATTCGGCCTAATGCCATTTGGCCAATTGGTTCGTTTGACTGAATGTAGTTTGGCCGAATTCTGTTTGGTCAAATGCCGTTTGACCGAATGTCGAACAACAAAATTCCAAAGAACTGCTCATATTTGAAGGAAGATTAAAATCTCAATTTTATGACAAGCTGCGTTTACTGTGAAAAAAATAATAAAATCTTCAAAACGCCAATGAGCTTCTCATGTTAAAAAGGGTGGCTAAAAAAAATACCAATTACAGGGCTGGTAGTGAGTCACTTTTTAGGGACTTGGTCACTTTTTTCAAGTCAGTTGTGGTGAAGAACGATGGTGAATAGCGCAGCCAGCACTCAATGACGTACAGCATGATCCGCGCATTCAGGTTCGCTGTTCTGGGTGTAGGAAAGGTAAATGAATAATTCTGTTTGTCAACGCTATGGTAGAAGTGAACGCTACTGACGTGAGTGCAATTGCATGATATGCATTTTTCTGTCTTATCGGCAAATTTAGTAAGTTCAATTCTTACAGTGGTGTAAATGATTTAAGCAACATATGACACCTCCCTTTTCAAAATGAATAATGTAATGTAATGAAATGGAATAAAGTTATTCAATCTGTTACAAAATTTTGATTTTTTTTTTCTTTTTTTTTTGTTTGTTTTTTGTTTTTGTTTTTGTTTTTTTTTTTGCATTCTAGCTTAAAATTATGCTTTATTAATTCGATTTTTGTGAACAATTGATTGTTTGTTTGATTTTTCATTTACTATTGTACAATTTGGATCGTTTATTTCCTTTATAATGTATGGTCCTATGTAGAATGGATCTAGTTTTTTCCTGTTTTCATTTGTTATGGAAATGTTATCACCTATATTCAAATGTATTGGGTTGAGTTTATCATCATTTGTATTTTGTCTTGCTTCTTTTTTGGATAACAAATTTTCTCTGGCAATTTCGTTTGCTTTATGAAGTTTAAATTTAACCTCGTTGTAGTATTGCTCGATGTTATAAATTGGTTCATGGTTTGTATTCTTCTGAAAATCATGTGGTAATTTTGCTTTGTGACCAAATATAAGTTCGAATGGTGTATAACTATGTTCTACGTGGGGTGTTGTATTGAAATTGAATGTGTAAAACTTAATTCAATCATCCCAGTCATTCTGATGTGCATTATTGAAACATCGCAGATACTCGTTTAAGCAACTGTGATTTCTCTCCAATGCTCCGATAGACTGTGGGTGATAAGCGGTCGAAAATGTTTGTTTGATTGATAAAAGTTGACAAATTTTTCCAAGGACTTCGTTATTGTACTCAGTACCTTGGTCTGTTCGAAGTTCTGTGAAATTTCCATAAATTAGTATGAAATTTTCAACAAGTGCTTTTGCTATTACGTGAGCTTCTTTTGTTGGTATCGGAATACAAATTACATACTTGGTTAAATTGCATTGTAGAGTAAGTATGTATCTATTGCCGTTACTTGTTCTCATAAAAGGTCCAACTGTATCGGCTGAAAGTACTTCGAAACATTTCGAAGGTGTAGTTGTAATTACTTGTTTTTCTCTAGTATGTCTGTGTACTTTGTTTATTTTGCATAGTTTACAAAGTTTTACAAAATTTTAAATATCTGTTTTCATATTCTTTCACTTGTACAGTTCTCGTATTTTAAGATACATTCTATGCTGACCAATAT